AAGTTCCAAAGAGAAGATACACCCGTATCACTGATGACATAACAAATAACATATCTTCTTTATATATGTGTACAATGATGACTGATCCAATCAGTACAAATATTAAACATACATTAAGCAAATCTACACTTTGCACGTTCATAAACATTTCACATAGTCCAGAGGAGGAGAAACTAATAAACTCTTCACTTTTAATTTCTTAATTTATTCTAATAAAACTTATTTATATATTAGTAATAAACACAATCTCCACTGACACGTCACTACGCGCCAAGCGTTTCAACGCTTTCTCTGGTCGGCAATCGTGAGCCCCAACCTGAAATTAACCTTTGTTGACGTCACTGAGAACGACGATGGAGTCGTCGGCAATGTCATCAAGCAAAAGGTCGATTTTTTGAGCCACAGTACATGTCCAAACTTCATATTACAGTAGAAAGTTGAGTTTTTTGAGCCATTTCATCAAACATATAGCCACCCATACACATATTTACACAAGACAACTTCCCACATTAACATAATTACCCAAAACACAAACTTTTTCTCCACCGAAGCATTTCGTCAAGCACTAGGTTCGCCCTTTCCCTTATTCACAGAAAACCAAAACAAAAAACCATCAGCAAAAAAGGGGGAAAATTCGTTCCTAGAAAGCAAAAATAGAGATAAAAATTACATCTTTTCCTCAAAAAATAAAATAAAAATTGTACAGGGGAGGCGTCTTCGTCATCGACGTCGCTAAGAACAGTGGCGGAGTCGTCGGCGATGTGGTTGTCGGCCATTAGAAAACCCCCAACAAGCGGCGGATCTCGACGCAGAAGAGGGAGCCGGCGCCACCGCGGGATCGGAGAGGAGGAGGGGGAGGAGGAGAGGATGAGAGAGTTGAAGGAGGGGGCAGAGGGGGGAGTGGAGGAGGAGGACTAGAGGAGGAAGAAAGAAAGAAGCATGTTGAGGGTAAAGTTGAGATTTTAACATGTTATGCATTGAAACTTGGGCGGAGCTGAATTGGAGGGGCTGGGGCACAAAATTTTCAAAAGTTGGGGGCTGCAGCGTATAGGTAAAAATATAAGGGGCTGGGTGACACTGCCTTTAAAATTTTAGGGCCTGGAAGCAATTTTCCCAAATCTAATTTTTATTTATCAAAATGTATTAATTTTTAGCAAGTTAGTCAATGTAATCTCGTGTACTTAACAATTTTTACTAATTATAAGAGATTGAGGATATCATATATGATAATTCTTTAAGGTCTTCTTTAGTATGCGAGAATGAGCGAAAATAGAATATCAATTCACATTTCTCATTTTTTATACTAAACATAACCTCTTCTTGGAAAGTATAATGTTTATTCTTACTTTGTATCGAAATGACCATTGAGATGATAGGGAACGGGCATTCCCACTTAAGTGAAAATCAATAAAATAGATAATTTTTAAATTTGTCTGTTATCACCTCATTCTCATTACACCCAAGCATAAAGAATGGAAATGATCATTTTATTCATGTCTTAGTTTCCTCACATTTCTTAGTCCATTCAATTCTCACATTACTTGATTCTCGCATACCAAATGAGACGTAAATTCTTCTACAGATACCATTGTTTGGTCAAGTGGTTTAAGGTGGTATAGACTTGAGTTTTGTTTTAAATAGACTTGGATTCAAATCTAACGTCTATCAAATCTTCACAAAGGGACTGCAAATCATGTGTATTCAGNGTGGGGGGGGGGGGGGGGGGGAGAGAGAAAAGAATTATATATATTAATGTTTGACAAATGCAATTTCAAAGAGAAGCTTAAAGAAGTAGACGGAGACCACTTGACTTAATTCAGAGGCGTGGCTGACAATTTGGGGGCCCGGTTCTAAATTTTAATCGGGGCCTCTTAATCAATCTTCAGAAGAAACTAATGATTATTTTTATACGTAGTACTAACCATGGAAAGAATTTTTTATATCTAGAATTAAAATAAACATTAAGACATAACAATGGTTCTATGCAAAACATATTACGTGCAAAATATTGATAGTAAAAAAAAGATACACAAAATCAACATCTTACTAATAATCTTGACATGTCCGACAAGCTTACTGAGATTTTTAGCTGCCTTCCCATCACTCTTCGACGTTTCCCTCAATGACCTAATCGACCACACAGTTCGAAACAAAATCTTTCATCCATTAAGGTAATCTTTCAGCCACAAGGTAATCTTTCAGTCACCACAAATTAAAAAAAAACATAATAATTACAAAGGAAAATACATAAAAATTTCATCCATTAAGTTATTTACTTTCACCAAATTAGCATTGCTATTTTCTAAATTCTTCACAAATTATGTTTTCCCCCTCAGCCAACCAATTCTACTTTTTTTATATGCCCACAAAGACACATCCTAGTGAACTCAGCAAATCAACAATCAAAAAGTATTTAGTCATGTTTTCTGGTAATGGAACTTATCACAAAGTTTACAAAACTGCTATCAAAAGAGGTAACTTTTTACTAAGGAAAATGAAAGACATGCAAGAAAATGAAAGACATACAAAACCAAGGCAATTCATCAAACACATGGCAGTCATAGAAGGTTACCTTGAGAGGTCAGAGTCACAGAGAGGTGAGAAGACCAAGGGGCTGGGGTCTTGTTGATGCGGAAGCGTTCCTGCCCCTTGGCGATGAGGAAGAAGCGGTCGTCGGTGAGCTTCTCGTTCTTCACAATCTCGGCGATGCAGCTGACGGCGGCGACGGAGGAGGATTCCGACGACGAGGGTCGGAGTAGAGGAGGGTGTGCATCCTGATCCGGTAGCGGAACTCGAAGATCTGAAGAGGGAGGATCGCGCCAGGGAAAAGAACCAAAGGGAGGGGGAAGATCGGAAGCTCCGCCGCCGACGATGGCTTGATCTTTTTTTGCGCGATTTGGGGGCGGCTGGGATGGCGAAGGGGCGGCTGCGCGATTTGGGACCCCCCAAGTTGGGGGCCCTGTTCTGCGGAACCGGATGTTCCGCCTCAGCGGCGCCCCTGACTTAATTGCAATATTAGTCAAAATACATGAAGAAACACACTATATCAGATTATTAATCCTGAATAATTACAAAAAAAATGCTAATTACATGGATTGACAATCTCTTAAATTCCTAAGACAACATTTTTTTCAAATTCGACTAGTTTTCAACCCCAAGTAGGGGTGCATTCGGTCCGAATACAGCTCGGATATAATTCTTACCATATTCATTTCCACTTACTCATCTCGGATACGGATACAGATATGGATATACCTCGGTAAGAAAAATGCACATCCATATCTGCTAAAATCGGACATGGTTACGGTTAAACATGCGGATATATAAGCGGATACGCATGAGGATACAAAACGGATATGAAACTAGATAGTATTGAGAAAAACATACTTCATACGATACAGAAAAGTTCGTTAATATGTTCATTATAACTAAAAAGTTAAGATTTAACATCTTGATGATTAAAATTAACCACAAATCCATAATCTAAGAATCGAAACTATCGTAAGAGTATGACTAATATGTAATTGGATATTTCAGATACGGATACAGATATTTCACTAGGGGTGGGAAAAAACCGAAACAAACCGGTTCAACCGAAAAAACCGCCCGAAAAAACGGATCGGTTAACCGAACCGAATTAAATGGATGAGAAGAAGTCTCTAAACCGCCTGAACCGAATTAAACCGGTCTGGATCCGGTTTGAACCCTTGAACCGCCCAAAAAAAACCGAACCGAATTCTTAAACAAAAAGTAGCTGCGAGCCTTGTGTGTGAAGAAAATTTATGGCTGAATGTTTAGCATTTAAGAATTGTGGGGTGGAGTTTATACTAACATATATTTGAGTACGCTGATATAGTTAAGTGAGATTTCCGTAAATCAATACAAGATGTTGAGGTTGAATGATAAATTTAGTGTTTTGGTCAAATTTCAGTGATAACATGAATACAGTTGGCTGGTGCTGGATATCAAATTAACCTATAGTATAGGCTGTCAAGGATATAAGATAATTTTTGATGAGAAAAAGGCAGCTAAAAATTAACGAAAATCATCAAAAGGTGTGTGTGCCTGCCAAACATTGTTCTTTCTCTAAAAAAGGCTACATAATTACATGGTCCTCCTAGTGTATTAAGCTAGTTATATTCAGATCATACAATTTGATTAAGTGGCTTAGTACAGTTTTGATTGTTTCTTTTCAGTTTTGATTGCTTCTTTTCAGTTTTGGATATAACTAAAACTTACCCAGATTTTTGTGAAATGGAGTTAATTCGGTTCAAAACCGAAACCGAACCGAACCGAACCGAAGTTAATTTGGTTCAAAACCGAAACCGAACCGAATTTCGGTTGGGCCGAATATTCGGATGAAGGGGAAAAAATCTGGATCTGGATGAGAGTTTTGAGAATTCGAAAAATTCGGATTGGATGCGGATTGGGCTTAAAACCGAACCGAACCGAATACGCCCAGCCCTATATTTCACTATAAAATCATATCTATAACCATATCCTATCGTTTATAAATTTGAGTAACTATATTTGTATCCTAATGGATACAATTACAGATATTTCCTCGGATATAAATACGGTTTAGCACCCCTAATCTCAAGTGTCCACATGATTGAAAATAAAGTTTGTAAACCCCAAAAACCCAACAACCCCCACCACCCCCTCAACCCCCCCCCCCCCCAAAAAAAAAAAAAAAAAACCAACTTTATGATTTTTTTTTCGTAAAACCCTCTAACGATTTTAGCTGCAATTTTTCATTGGACGATCAATTACACACGCTATATTTTTCCAGTAAAATAACGGTTCATGCCTAAATGTAATATAAAACATACCCCTGTATAATTTTACCCGCCCAATGTGCGAAATTACACCTTACGTCGTTAGGGATATTTTGACAAAACCTTGAAAGTTGAAGGGGGTATTCCTCATAACAACTAAACGAGAGAGGAGGAGGAGGAGGGAGGAGGAGGAGGGGGGGGGGGGGGGGGGGGGGGTTCGGATATTTGAGATTTATGGTGGTTCCCTAATAATCGCCCAAGTTAAGGGGGTATTCTAAAATTTGCCAAAATCTCGCATCTCATCCTCTCCTTCCGCCTCAAAACCCAGAGAGCTCAGACGCCTAAATCAAAATTAAATAAAAAATCTCACATCGAGTCAAAAAATCAAGAAGAAAGATATGGGTACCCAAAATCAACCCATTTCCTTGCAGCGCCTTCAACACGTTGAAAAGGTAATCAATCGATAATAGCCCACATCCCCCCTCTCAAATTAATGGAGAAATTTCTGTCTTATTTTTTCTCTGTTTTATTTTAACTCCAGAGAATAGTGAGAGTTGTGGAGCTGGCAGGATCCGTGATGGACGAGCTCGCCAACTCCACGGGCCCAAGGAACGAGGCCGTCGCTAATCACTGCAGAGAGTTCATGCAATCCATCAAGGTATTCAATTGCTTTCCTTTAAAAAAAATGAGTAAATTAGGGTTTGAATTTTCTTCAGCAGAAAAAGTTGGTTTTTTTTTGGGAATATAACAAAAAGGAATTAAGAAATTTGTTTTAAAGTTAAAGAAATTGCAAAACTAATGCAGCAAGTTGAGGGTTTTAGCAGGCTTTTTACAACAATCGTTGAATCTTTGCAAATGGGAGAATGCATTGAAGTTTCCATTGTGAACCCACTTGAAACTTTCCATAATTTGACCTCTTGAGACCAAAACTTTGATCGCTATAGAAATTCCTGATAAATTATTTAGATCTCAACGACTGTTGTTTCCTTCTTTGATTTTGGACACATAGAATGTGCAATTAACATTATTCTGATCCAAAATTTGTTGAATATTCTGGAGGGGAACAACAGTTGGACTCAGGTCATATTCACGGTTAAGGCATATAAAAATCGGGAAATTGCAGGCAAGAAAAAGTTTGATTTAATATATTCATTTGTAATGAACCTCTAACTTGATTAGAAGAATGGAAGTGAAATATTGCTAACTAAATTTGCCAAAAACTTTGTTTTGGTGGAAACCATAAGTTTGGGATGATGTTGCTTTAGTGTTTGTATATAGGCTTGATGTAAACATAAGCATCAAACATCTCCAAAACTAAAACCATGTGTTTTGGGAATTGCAAGTTCTTATTTACCATTAGCTTCTGACATGAGAAGCATCCACCAATGAACTATAATGAAAAGATAATCGACTAGGCTTCACAGATGTATAGTTGATATGTGAATGAATTCCACTAAATTTTTGGAACTATATATCCTCATTGTAGGCTAATAAATAGATAAAGAGAATAGGTGTTGAGAATTAAAAAAAACTTGCACCACGGACTAATACTCAACAATAATTATTTCTACATGCTTAAATATAATATCAATCACCCATTTTACATCTTTTCCTAACAATTGTTGATATTATGAAGAAATACCCTCTTCTATGAACTCATATATCAAAACATATACTGTTAAAGTCTTAAATGTGTGAGGATTTCATAGATAATAGTGCTAAACAAGTGAACATGGCTCAACTTGGTCATGTCCTAAGTTTTCTTTTGCCTTTGTTTGTCTAGCTGACGATTGGAATAAGGACACTGGATGAGTATGCAGATGCAAAATTTTAAGAGAAGGCGAAGATTTCGTAGTATATCACAACAGCTGCTAATGCATCTAGGTCCCATGATATGCCCATTTAAAACTTCTTCAACTAACAGCCTAGTTGAGTTTAAAATGATCGTGTAAGACCATCATTGAATAGGCTTATATAGAGCATAAGTTTGACAGCGTTCAAGCAGTTATTTTGCATATTCTTTTAATGCCAGTATCATTCCTTCAACGTTAATCTAGCTGAAGACGACCCTTTCTCATGACTTGCATAATGCTTCAAATCATAGTTACACGGTACATGGTACATAGCGGGTGGTATGCAATTTGCCACTTGGAAAATTTAGATTCGACATGGGGTGACTTGCTTCAGTATGCAAATTCGGTTAGTAGTACGTTGTAACTTTTTTTTTTGGGTGCGCTTAAAGTTTTCCAAAGTATATAATAGCAAACTAGAAACTAGAAAGCTAATTATGCATTTCAATATTTTTTTCATACAAAATACTTGAATGCTTCCTTTTATGGAGTTCGTTTCTTTGTTCTGTTCTTAACACATAGTTTGTATTGGGATCTGGTTTCATTTCACGTTTTATTAACGTAAGTATTTAGTTACAATAATGTCATTGGCTCATATATTCTAATGCGTGCCTCCCTTCACTTGATTGCGACATAGAATTGCGTCTTGCGCATGTGCACTTAAAAGGGTCTTTGCGGCCCACATACTTGTAAGTAATACACCAGAAACAATTCATGTCTCAAAGGGAATCGGTTCTCAAATGTATCGGGAATCAGTTTGCAAGGACTGCATGACGGCTTGAGGGTGGGTCCAGCGAATTGCGCAACTATGCTTCAAATTAGTGATCTATCTACGCTGTCAAATCTCAATGCTGTTAACTGAAAAAGGGCTTTTAGTGCTATACACTTTAAATAAACAACTGATTCAGAGTGCCAGTAGCTTATGGTGGAGACTGGAATTTCTTCCGGAGGGCAGTCGTCCAAAAGGACCATATAGTAATATATGATAATTAGTAATTCGAAAGGATATGTCTTGCTGTATTAGTAATTATCTCTTCCCTTTTCTGAATAAGAGAATGATATAAGATTGTGATGGAAACAGGAGATACAAATGACACTGCGAGAGGAAATCAAAAGTGCTTGTGAATATCGTCCATTCGAGAAGTGTGATTATAGTGCCAGAATTTCTAATGAGATTTGTTGCATGAAGTTAGAGTACATCATTGAGCAGCTGGATGGCATGAAACAAACCATCGACCAATGTAAGGATGGAGACTGAGAAGCTGACCTTCGAATTGTAAGTAAGCACTCTGAAAATACTTCTGCTGCCTTGTCATGAAAACACAGTCATTGTGAACTTTATGCTGCCTGCATTATATGTGGGTACAAAGTATTAATTGCTGTTTCTGTGTTTATGGTTCTGGATGTGCATATCTCAAACTTCATAAATTAGTTGTTTCTAATCGCTAGTTGTTAGGACGTAGTTAACGATGCAGATGATAGAAGTAAGATAGTTTCTAAAGAAAAACAAAATTGTTTTTTTTCCTAAAGAAAGAAAGAAAATTGCTTTTCCTTATCTTACACATAGGATAATAGCTAATCATCTACATTTGTTTTTTTTTGGTTAATAAACATATTTTATTATGGAAATACATTACAATTTTGGCCCCTGACAACATCTTTGCCGCTTGTTTAAGCTCGATGAATTAGTAAGGTTCTTAGTGTCAGAGGTTACTTGCTTGAAAGTGGCAACATAACTTGGCAACGGTTGTATCTCCAGTTCCTTTTTTTATTTTATGAACTTAAAGAAGTTATCCATTTTCAAGACCTTCCCCTTGTAATATTTTAAAGGATCGAAAGGAAAAAAGTTGATGATTTCAGTATTTCTTCTGTGATAATGACAAATTTATTTTCAAATTCCGGAATTTTTTTTCTTTATACATTCATTTTCCAAAATATGAACTTCCGCTCATACTTTTCATTTAAAGGTCAAGAACTCAAAATGTATGGTGTATTTTGCATGTGATGTAACTCCTCGTTAATTCATTGTTTGAACAAAACTTCACATTCATTAGTGGGAGTGTCTGAAAATTCTCCCCGTCGGTTTCTCCATGTTCAAGGAAGACGCTAAGAGTCAAAGCAAAACTAATATATTTCTCTTTTGAAACACAAAGGTCGTTTATTCCATTTACTAGCAATTGTTTCTCGTTCAAATTCGGTTTCGAGTCTTTCGACTATTTAAAACTAGTATGTATTTTTTCAGGACTGCAGAAATTTTAAATAGTGCTTGCCTTCATTCAGAAGTATGACGCATCAATTTGTAGACTGAACACCTGACCAAGCCAGGGAAAGGAGCTTATGGATACTAACTGCTCGGTGATCCAGCACAAGAAAATACTGGAGGGAGAAATTGATTACCTGCAATTATTCTTTACTTTCTCTCATTAGAATATTATGTGTATTGTAATTCCTGTTTTGATAACACGGACATCAATTACTCTGGTGGTGTTAGCCGACCACATTATTTGCAAAAAAAAAAAAAGAAAAAAAAAGAAAAAAAGAAAGGTTTTTAAAAATCTGATGGACGATGTTGTTGGCGCCTGTGGTTAATTCTGGCATAATACAGATATAAAATAATAAAAATTGAACAGAAAATTAAAGTACAGTAATTTAAAAATTTTCAACTCAGCTGCTGTGCGTTTATAAAACGCTGTGCTTAAAGCATTATTTGGCCTACTCCGGTGCAAGGATTCCAAGGCCAAATTGCTTTCAGGAACAGCAGTCCAGTACTCTGGTGTGTACCAACCTAGTACTGTCAAGATCTCCTCGATCTATAAGGTAAAGATCTCCTCGATCTATAAGGCAAAGATCTCCTCGATCTATCAGGCAAAGATCTCCTCGATCTATAAGACCTTCTCGGTCTGGGCACTGTTCCTACTAGCACTAGCTATTCTACAATATATATCTGTATATATTGATTGTTGTTTTTGGAATCAATTTTCCTTAAGGATTTGAGGTCTATTTATAGCGTTTGGAAAAACACTATGCACTAATAAAATATTATTAGTTACTATCATGTGGGCCCCACACCCAAATTATTTTCACGTTTTCATTTTTTCTTCAACTTTGGCTGCAGGACGGTGCCAACCATGAGGAAAACTTTTGTTGTGGGCCCCACCACGGTGGGGTCCACTTGATAAAAAAAAAATCTAACAATCCCCCATAATTTTTTTTAAAACTAGTGTCGTGTATTGGTGCCGTCGTTTCAATCGTTATGCATAAGGTAGATGTCGCAATGACTTGAATCCCCCTTAGACCAACTGAATAAAAGATAGGTGCATGGTGTCGCAGAGACTTGAACCAGCACATGTCTAAAAATCCAGCGATCACATAAGATCAAACTCATCTGTGGTAGTTTTCACTTTGAACCACACTTGCCTTTGCCTTTGCCTTGGCCTTGCCTTTATCTTTGCACATTTATGGCCCTATGCATGTCCTGGTTTTTGCTAGGGCTCTAGGTATCTTTCCACAAGACACCATAGGAGACGGCCAAATCTCTACCCATGCATAGGTGAGTTCTTTAGGCATGTTTCCTATCAAATATCCCGTATCCGAAATGCTTTGAACTCATTAAGGCTTAAGAGCCACCCTCTCTCATGATAGGATTCTAGTTGAGTCCTTTAGGTGTGTTTCCTATCTAACACCCCACATCCGAAATACTTTGGACTCATTAAGGCTTAACAGCCATCCCTTTTACATGATAGGATTCTAGTGAAAAGATCAAAGTTTTACTCGGGTAGTTCAGCCAGGTAAGGATAGTATTAGAGGTTGATCAAAGATCAATTAAGTACCTCGTTCCTTGTGGAGCGCGTTACGCAACCCCTAAACCTTGCCTTAGACACCGACTAATCTAAGAAAACTCAAGCCCTTTCACTTGTAAATCTTACTTGACTTTTGAACCATTTATCTTGTCATTAGTAGCATAAGCTTTGAACTAATAACTAGATGTAAATGGTAAGTATTTGTAAGACTCACCAAACTTTGCAAATCTTACTTGACTTTTGAACCAATTATTTTATTATTAGTAGCATAAGCTTTGAACTAATAACTTAATAAACATGGTAAGTATTTGTAAGACTTACAAAACTTTGAGGCTCATTCCAGCAGACGTCCTTTTGACTATGTCCTTTTTCAGACCCTTAGTCAAAGGATTAGCCACATTCTGTGAAGATCGGACGTCAATCACCGAGATGACTCCTTAACAAATGAGCTCTCTCAAATAGCCATGCTTCAGACGAATGGTCCGCTTCTTTCCATTGATCAACGAGTTCGCTGCCACAGCACTCGTCGCTTGATTATCACAATAGATAGTAATTGCGCCTTGCAATTCCTTCAATGGAAGGTCTCAGAGAATACAACTGAGCCACTCAGCTTCATCTCCTGCAACACAGAGTGCGAAGAATTCAGATTCCATCGATGACTGTGCAATCATGGTCTGCTTCTTAGACTTCCATGAAACGACAGCTCCACTCACGGTGAAGACAAATCCTCCAGTAGATCTGCACTCATCTAGTTCTGAGCACCAGCTTGCATCTGAATAGCCTTCGATTACACCTGGATATCCAGTGTAGAATAGGCCCAGACTTGTAGTTCCTTTCAGGTATCTCATCAATCTCTGGACAGCATCCCAATGAAGCTTTCCAGGATTACTTGTGAACCTACTAAGCATTCCTACAGCGAATGCTATATCTGGCCTTGTGCAGCTCATCGCGTACATAAGACTCCCAATGATCTTTGAGTACCTTAGCTGCTCTACTGGTCTTCCAGTGTTCGATCGAAGCTTCTTGTTGTAATCATACGGCACTGACAGTTCTGGCAGGTCGTAGTAGCCATACTTCCTTAGCATGCTCTCGACATAATGAGATTGGGACAATCCAATACCCTTTTTAGAGTATATGATTTTGATTCCGAGAATCACGTCCGCAGTTCCAAGGTCCTTCATGCTGAACTGTGCCGAGAGAAATTTCTTGGTAGATGTTACTATCTCCAAATCACTCCCGATGATGAGCATATCATCCACATAGAGGCAGATGACCACCACCTTTCCTTCAGCGACTTTGATGTATAGGCACTTGTCAGATTCACTGACTTGATACCCATTGTTGCGAACAACCCCATCAAATTTCTCATGCCAGAGTTTTGGTGTCTGCTTAAGTCCATATAATGACTTAACAAGTTTACAAACCTTACCAGCTGGAGCATCAAGTCCTTCTGGTTTCTCCATGTAGATCTCTTCTGTGAGATCTCCATTGAGAAAGGCAGTCTTCACATCCATCTGATGTATGACTAATCTTTTAATCGCCGCTCATGCGATAAGTACTCTGATGGTAGCGATCCTGCAAACTGGTGCATAAATATCAAAGAAGTATATACCTTCTTTCTGAGAGAATCCTTTTGCCACCAGTCTTGCTTTGTACTTTTCAATAGTACCATCAGGACGGAGCTTCTTCTTGAAGATCCATTTGCAACTGATAGGCCTTGCACCTTCAGGTACGTCCACCAGCTCCCAAGTGTGATTTTGGATCAATGAATCCATCTCATCATCTATAGCTTCTTTCCACAGAAGAACGTCTGTTGACTGCATTGCTTCTTAAAAAGTCTGTGGATCTCCTTCCACATTATAGGTGATAAAGTCATCTCCAAAATCTTTCTGTCTTCTGACGCGCTTGGAAGATGGTTCGACAACTCCTTCATTATTGACTGGCTCCTCTTGTGCATCTGATGTACTAGCATTCTCTGCTACATCTTTGAGCAATAAGCCTGTATGTTTGATATACTTATCCTCAAAGAATTTTGCATCCCGAGCTTCAATGATGGAGTTGGTTCCAAGGTCCAGGAACCTGCACGCATTGCTATCTCCAGCAAAGCCAAGAAATACACATTTGTTTGCCTTTGGTCCGAGCTTAGGCCTTCTGATATCTGGTATTCGAACGTATGCGAGACACCCCCACACTTTGAGATTATCCAAAGAATCTGGATATCCCAACCATAACTGATGAGGAGTATTATCAGTTTTGGAGTAGGGTACTCTGTTCAGAATCCAGTTTGCCATTAGTAAAGCCTCTCCCCAATAGCAGGTAGGTAGACCAGATGTGATCAGCATCGAATTCACCATCTCGGTCAATGTACGATTCTTTCTTTCTGCAATCCCATTAGATTGTGGAGAATACGGAGCAGTAGTTTCAGCAATGATTCCATGCTCCTTGAAGTATACTTCCGACTCCTTAGATCGGTACTCTCCTCCTCTGTCGCTCCTGAGTCTTTTCACCTGCAGTCCAAGTTGCTTCTCCACTCGAGTCCGAAACTCGACAAATTTGTTGAAGGCTTCATCTTTAGATTTTAGCAGGTAAACGTGGCAGAAGCGAGAATGGTCGTCGATGAAGGTGATGAAGTACTTCTTGCCGCCACGAGTGACGAAGTTTTTGAAATCACAAGTATCTGAATGAATCAGATCCAACAGGTTGGTGCTCCTCATGACACTTGAAAATGGCTTCCTTGTCAGCTTTGCTTGCGCGCAAACTTCACACTTCTCAGGTTTGTTACCCCCACATTTTGGAAGTAATCCTAACTTCTCCATGCTGGACAGTTTTCTATAATTTACATGTCCCAGCCTATTGTGCCATAACACAGAAGAGTAAGCAGAGGAGGATACTTCATTTACAATGGGGTTGAGTGCACTCGTACTGATTTTATACATGCCATCAGTACGATATGCATTACCAAAATACATTTTCTTGATGGATAATACAGCCTTTCCTCCTTGGAAATCCAGCCTCATGCCTGCATCACACAACATGCTTCCAGAGACTAAGTTTTTAGCAATTGAGGGAACATGTTTCATATCCTTCAATGTGAGAGTCTTTCCCGAAGAAAGAGTCAGTACCATAGTCCCAGTTCCAAGAACAGGAACCACAGAACGATCAGCCATTGATACGTTCTCTGTAGTAGCAACATAAGAAGAGAACATATCTCTATTGGAGCATACATGACAAGTAGCACCCGTATCTAACCACCAACTAGAGATGTTGCTTGGAGTTGTTACCTGGAAGAGCATAGCCACACAATCATCAACTTGATTGACATTGTGTGTTATTTTCTTCTTTGGTCCTTTGCAGTCTTTGGCAAAATGTCCTTGCTTCCCACAGTTGAAGCATTTGCCGCTCTTCTTGAACTCCTTCTTTTGAACGTTCAGGTTCTTCGGATTTTGGTTCTTCCTTCTATTAAAAGACTTCTTCTTCTTGAAAGATGAATAATTACCCTTTTCAGAGTTAGCCGCCACCATGTTAGACGCCTTCTGCTTAGTAAGGAGCTCAGTCTTCGTGCGAGTCCGAGTCTTGTCCTCGATCCGAATGAACCTCTTCAAATCAGACAGAGTCACCTGTCTTTTCCTTCTCCGAATGTCAGTGGAGAATGACATCCAAGATGGAGGAAGCTTGTTGACAATTGCACCAGAGACGAATGTTTGACAAAGATTGATCTTTTCATCCTTCAGCTTCATAACAAGCTTTTCAAGCTCTTTAACTTGAGGCAAGACCTCAGTGTCATCTTCAAACTTCAAGTCTAGAAACTTGTCAATAAGGTGAGATTTGGACAGCTTCTCCTCATCCTTGTATTGGTCCTCCAGAGCATTCCAGATTTCCTTTGCAGAGGGCTTGTTGGTGTAAGCATCTGCTAGATGATCAGCCAGGCAATTAAGGAGATAACTCCTGCAGAAGTGATCATCTTTAGCCCAAGAGGCTTCAGCTTTAGAGTCTTCTTCAGAGTCGGGTTTTTCCTCAGAAACCACATAGTAGATTTTCAGGAGTTGCATCCCGAAGATTACTTTCCGATGCCATGCGTTGAAGTTGGAACCGTCAAAATTCTCTAACTTAAGACAGTCCACTCCAAGAGTCCTCACAGGATCCATGGTAGATCAAAATAATGCTTTAAGATTGTTGGCGCCTGTGGTTAATTCTGGCATAATACAGATATAAAATAGTAAAAATTGAACAGAAAATTAAAGTACAGTAATTTAAAATTTTCCAACTCAGCTGCTGTGCGTTTGTAAAACGCTGTGCTTAAAGCATTATTTGGCCTACTCCGGTGCAAGGATCCCAAGGCCAAATTGCTTCCAGGAACAGCAGTCCAGTACTCTGGTGTGCACCAACCCAGTACTGTCAAGATCTCCTCGATCTATAAGGCAAAGATCTCCTCGATCTATCAAGCAAAGATCTCCTCGATCTATCAGGCAAAGATCTCCTCGATCTCCTCATGCAAAGATCTCCTCGATCTCCTCAGGCAAAGATCTCCTCGATCTATAAGACATTCTCGGTCTGGGCACTGTTCCTACTAGCACTAGCTATTCTACAATATATATCTGTATATATTGATTGTTGTTTTTGGAATTAATTTTCCTTAAGGATTTGAGGTCTATTTATATCGTTTGGAAAAATACTATGTACTAATAAAATATTATTAGTTACTATTCATGTGGGCCCCACACCCAAATTATTTTCGCGTTTTCATTTTTTCTTCAACTTTGGCTGCAGGACGGTGCCAACCATGAGGAAAACTTTTGTTGTGGGCCCCACCACGGTGGGGCCCACTTGATAAAAAAAAATTATCTAACAGATGTAGCTTATAGTTCATTGGATACTATCAGCTGACATTGGTGAGGTTAATCGGCATAGTTCATTGGATACTATCAGCTGACATTGGTGAGGTTAATCGGCTTACACACGCAATAGGAAATGCCTACAAGCGAATACTGACGTGCTTACGAGGTTTGTTTTTTTTAAACTCTCATTGTTAATGGGTTTTTAAAACTCTCATTGTTAACTTAAATAAATAAATAAATAAATAAAGGAAAATAACTCATGCTGGTTGCATCGTAGATTTTTGGGTTTCTTTGTTTTAGGGGCTGTTTGGATCGGGTATTTTTAAGGGGAAAGGAGGGGGAAAGCTGTCAAAAAGTTAACAAATTGGCAGCTTTCTCCCTCCTTTCCCCTTCAAAATATCTGATCCAAACGGGCCTTAGCTTTCTAGCGGATTGCTCTGCACATCTACTCCTATATACTCTTCTATACTTAGGAGGATCAAAGAAATACTGTTCATACTACAGTAAATACTACAATAAAACACTGTAGTATATAAATAGCAAATCAGCTCTGCCCCTGCAATCCAAGTAACTGTTCATACTACAATATAAATAGTAAATCAGACCTGAGCCTTCACTCTTGAGGCTACTATTCATTCTACAATAATTTACTGTGTTATAAACAATAAAGCAAATTAAATGTATTAAAACGTGGATTCTCTTTCAAGTATAGAGGAGTATATATGATTTCTAAATCAAATGTATTGTTAAAACTTAGATCATTCTTTAAGTACATAGGAGTAGATATGATTTCTATTTTAAGCGTGCAATAATTAAATTAAATATGTTGAAACTTAGAGAAAGACAAGTTCAAAATACGATGCTAAAAAAAAGGGTACAGTGCTTTGCACATGGTGCAAACTAGTATACTTGAAAGGAGAATCTGAAGGATTACTGTTCATGTTGTAGTAGATACCACAGTAAATGTTGTAGCATGAACAGTAAATAAAAAATACTATTCATTCTATAGTAATTTACTATAACATAAATGGTAAAACAAATCAAATGTATTAAAACTTGGATCATTCTTTAATTATAGAATAGTAGATATGATTTTTAAATTAAATGTATTAAAATTTTGATCATTCTTTAAGTACAAAGGAGTAGATATGATTTCTAAATTTAAGCATGTAATAATTAAATAAAATGTATTAAAAGTTAGAGAGAGACAAGCTAAAAATACAGTACTAAAAAAAAGGGTCACGCTTTGCACGGGGTGCACGCTAGTCTCTTGGAAAGACTCCTTTCATTACATTTGGCACTCAAAATAATCATTACATTTGGCACTCAAAATAATCGGTTAAATTATCTAATTAATATTTTTATTAGATCCACCTTTCCCTGTTAGACTTTTTAAAAGCTTCAACAATATTTAGATATTTAATAATATCGACCAAGTCCTTGCATTTATTTTTGGCCATCGAGGTGCCATATGAAGCCAGTGTCTCATGACGTTTCACGTACGGTTTTAAAATAGCGATATGAACGGTGATGTTATTATCGATTATAATTATCTGACCGTTCAGGTACGGTGGACATAGTCGATGCACAACCAAATTATGGCTTTTGTGGGTGGAATCTATATCGTCTGCCTATACGGTTTGTAATTTTTATAATTTCTTCTCTAGAGGACCCTTCAATTTAGCAAAGAGGACTAATTTGTATAAATGAGAGATCAAAGAGACCACTACCAAAACTAACCCAATATAGCAATATTGATATTCTAGAAGGTGCTGTTTGAAAATAGCGGAAGAACTTAGTCGCAATGTCAAAACAACACCCTAACTTACTATTTAATTACGGCTAAATACCCATATTGGTATTTTATTTCAACCCCATTTGCCAAGAAGGTATTTTAATTAAAAAAATCGGCGTTAAGGTATTTTAATTGAATAAAATTACCAATTAGGTCTTTTTCCTCGTAGGCGACCACTTTTCCGGCGACCCCCTCTGCCCCAGCCACCCAAGCTCTGTCACCAAGCTCCAGATCCAACCGCCGCTGCCTTCCTTCTCGTCTCCAACAGCCAGCGCCTCTCTCCCTCGTCGTCAACCCCGACGAGCCCCACACCCGCCATCACCGCCTCCACCCCATCCCCCTTCCATGCTTGCAGACCAGCCCCACGACCATCTCAGGCCAGCCCCTCCACCTCGCCACTCTCCCTTGTCCCGCTGCCTCCTTCACCATCACCGAGCTCTGACGACAGCAACCCCATTCTCCTCCCCCTTCTGTCCACGGCGAGCCCGACTTCAACACCTCCATCTCCTCCTCTTCCCTCCACTCCCCGCCTTCATCCCCCAGACCCTCCCTCTTCCTCTCTTTGTCGAGCTTCCCCACGCCGAACTTGTTGCTGCTCAAGTTCCCGCCGACCAACCCAACTCTGAGCTTCCCTTCGCCCTCAACTTGAGACCCGACCACCTCCTACCACCGTCAGTCGTCGCCGTCCTCTCTTCCTCGTCGGAGACCACCGACGCTATGCTGCCGCTCCAAGCTCCGCTCAAAGAACTCCCCGCCGTCGCCGAGTTCACCCCGAGTCCCAGCTAAGATCCGCGTTGGTCAGAAAACAGTGCCACATCAGCAGCTTAAACACAGATTAAGCCACCGCGTGACGAGTTCTCGCCGGAAAAGTGGTCGCCGACGAGGAAAAAGACCTAATTGGTAATTTTATTCAATTAAAATGCCTTAACGCCGATTTTTTTAATTAAAATACCTTCTTGACAAATGAGGTTGAAATAAAATACCAATATGAGTATTTAGCCATTTAATTACCAAAACCTACTATTTAATTGCCAAAACCACCAGCAAATGCCAACTAGAAATGAACTTCAACTCCCTTCCCTTTCTCTTAAAACCCCTCACCGTCCTCGTCCTCACGTTGACCGTCACCTGTCTCCTCACCGCCGTCATCCATCGCCAGCCCTCTCAGCGATCTCCTTTCTCTCAAAGCCCAATGGCGGCCCGAAGCTTCGTTCTCTGGCTTCATGGGCTTGGCGATTCTGGGCCCGCGAACGAACCCATCAGGACTCTCTTCACCTCGCCTGAGTTCAGAGTTACCAAGTGGCTGTTCCCTTCGGCGCCTCGTTCGCCTGTTTCTTGCAATTGTGAGTGGTTTTAGATCTTGCCCGTTTTCTAATCTCTGTTTATTTTTGGTGGGTTTTGTTAGTTTTTAGCATTTGGGGGTGCCCACTAATTCTGTTTCTTAGTTTATTTTGGTGCCTAGTCTTTTATTTTTCAGGTTTGATTGCGGGATGTGTGCGCACAATTGGTCATCAATTTGCTTTGTTTCTAGTATTTTGGGATCTGCCCATTAATTTTGGTTTTATTGCATATGGGTACTTTCTTTTGATAGTCAAGATATATTTGTTTGTACTGATCCAAGCATTTTAGATCTCACTGCTTTTCTCTTTTGACTTAGCTGGAGCTATTTTTTTTTTGTCTGTGTTTTTGAGATTCAAGATATATTTGCTTGTGTCTCTTGCGATTAACTTTATAAACCAATTAATGAATATGATTCTGAAGGTTGATATGCAAGGTAAAGGCCTGTTAAAACAATAGTAACAAACAATCTAAGTAATACAAAGGAGCAAGGGTAAAGATAAATATCTAGAGAGAGAAAACTCATATACAAGAAAATTAATCATGGGTTGGCGAAGCCTGTCCTATGTTCATATCCCATATGGCCATATCACCATATTCTTCTTTGAATCTTTCTTGAACAAATTTAATATCATAAGGAACAGAACATGAGAACAAGTGGAAACAGAAACCAAAGACCTGGAAATAAAACAATTATCACCAACCACAACCCACCTCTTCTGATATATGCATATAAACACCAACCACAATTCACATCATGAGAAAATAACAGAAGACCAAAGACCTATAACAATGTAACTGCAAAGAGGGGTGGGGGGGATCCTGTAAACACTCAAAAGTATGCAGAGTGTAAAGCTTGAGTTGGATATACTGCCAGAATGTCCATTTCCAACAATAGAAACTATAGCAGAATGTCCAACTACAACATATGTAGTGTCCACAACAAGGGTAGGACAGTAAGGTGGAATAAAATCGGAATCAATTGTAGCAGGTATTTTAGATGCTCCAAAAGCAGAAACACTTGTCGAATAATTCCACTTCCCTCTTTGATCTTGGATGTAGATATATTCCTCATCTTTTCTTTTTGGGTGAATTTCTAACCAAAAATAAAAATAAAATTCTCCGGAATTTGAAGCAATGGAATTAGTAGATATCATGTGAAATATTAGTATAATTTGTTTACAGGAAACTAAATGGATAGGTGAAAAATCTAGAGAAATTGAAAAGACGGGATATAAATTTTGGTACGAGGGAAAAGAAAAGAATAGAAACGGAGTGGGAGTACTTGTAGATAACATAATGAAAGATAATGTTGTAGAGGTTAAAAGAGTAGGAGATAGAATAATACTACTAAAAATTATTTTGGGATTAGAGGTTTTATCATTGTTAGTGCTTACGCTCCGCTAGTAAGGTTACCCGAGAATTCTAAAAGAGATTTTTAAGATAACTTAGGTGAATTGGTTCAAAGAATTCTATTAGAAGAGATTGTTTGTAGGGCGAGGCCATAATAGGCATGTTGGCAAGGATGTTATGGTAATTCACCATCTAAAGATAAAGATATCAGGAGATTGTCTTCATAGGCCCAAAAGAGCTATGATCCAAACCAACTTAGCGGCCCAAAAGCCCGACCAAGAACAAGTCTATTAACCTGCCAAGCGGACGAGTCATCTTTACCGACGTCAAGTGTGGGAGTAGTCGACCCCTTATAAATCAAGACGACTCTTCAAGAGTCCACCTGCCTCATAATCGAGACGACTCCTCAGTTAGTCGGCTCGACCATCTACTCGACTGTCTACTCGGAGCTCACCCGACTGTTTGGTCGGCAAGTCACAGGAACGACTCACAAGCCGATCCGACCTTGCTAAGGGGATAAGATCCAACTAAGTTGCCTTCAAGATATGCATCGATCAACACTACAATTTATTGAGCGATCCTATCAAGATCTCAACTCTGACAAACCTTGTGCGAAAACAGCTCACTCTACCCACAAGTCATTTCCCAGAGATCACTAAGATACTCTCCTGTGCTCGAATGATTTCCCCTTCAGTCGCCAGCCGTCATCTGGAAAGGGAAGGAGGCCCAAACAGTCGGCCTATCCTCCGTCTTGTCTCATCTATCGAATCTGGGATATTTTCAAGACGTCCTCGAACGCTAGATGTTGATGAGTTGTACTCCATTATGTAATCAATGGAAGTTCAAAAAAAAAAAAAAAAAAAAAAAAAAAAAAAAAAGAAAAGACGTAGTCAACTCAAGGGTTCTAGGCATACGACTTCTCGATCGAATGACAAAGATCTTGGCTCCTCATCAGGGTAAGCCCAAGGCACATCGACTCCTCAGTCAGCACAAAGCCCTTAGCTCTTCTTAAAAATAAGTCTAAGGTACAACATATGGTTCGATTCCGTCGACTCTCGTCGACCATAATGGTTAAGACCTTGGCTTTGAATCAGAATAAGCCTAAGGCACAACGACTTCTCAGTCGGCACCAAGACCTTAGCTCCTCATTAGGATAAGCCCAAGGCACAACGACTTCTCAGTTGGCACCAAGACCTTGGCTCCTCATCAGGATAAGCCCAAGGCACAACGACTTCTAAGTCGGCACAAAGCCCTTGGCTTTTCTTAAAGGTAAGCCTAAGACGTAACATATGGTTCGATTCCGTCGGCTCTCATCGATCATAATGGTCAAGATCTCGGTTCCTCATCAGGATAAACCCGAAGCACAACGACTCCTTAGTCGACATAAAGACATTGACGCTTCTTAAAGGTAAGATCAAGACACAACATATGGTTAGATTCCGTCGGTTCTCATCGATCATAATGGTCAAGACTTTGGCTCCTTATCAGGATAAGCCCAAGGCACAACGACTTCTCAGTCGGCACCAAGATCTTGGCTCCTCATCAGGATAAGCCTAAGGCACGACTTCTCACTCGGCACCAAGACTTTGGCTCCTCATCAGGATAAGCTCAAGGCACAATGACTCCTCAGTCGGCACAAAGCTCTTGGCTCTTCTTAAAGGTAAGCCTAAGGTGCAACATATGGTTCGATTCCGTCGGCTCTCATCGATCATAATTGTCAAGACCTCGGCTCCTCATCAGGATAAGCCCGAGAAACGACTCCTCAGTCGGCACAAATACCTTGGCGCTTCTTAAAGATAAGATCAAGGCACAACATATAGTTCGATTCCTTCTGCTCTCATCGATCATAATGGTCAAGACCTTGGCTCCTTATTAGGATAAGCCTAAGGCACGACTTCTCAATCGACACTAAGATATTGGCTCATCATCAGGAATCAGGATAAGCCCAAGGCACAACAATTCCTCAGTCGGCACAAAACCCTTGGTTCTTTTTAAAGATAAGCCCAAGACGCAACATATGATTCGATTCCGTCGGCTCTCATCAATCATAATGGTCAAGACATTGTCTCATCATCAGGATAAGCCCAAGGCACAACGACTCCTCAGTCGGTACAAAGCCCTTAGCTCTTCTTAAAGGTAAGCCCAAGGCATAACATATGATTTGATTCCGTCGGCTCTCATCGACCATAACGGTCAAGACCTCGGCTCCTCATCAGGAGAAGCTCGAGGCACAACGACTCTTCAGTCGGCACAAAGACTTTGGAGCTTCTTAAAGGTAAGACCGATGCACAACATATGGTTCGATTCCTTCTGCTCTCATCGATCATAATGGTCAAGACCTTGACTCCTCATCAGGATAAGCCCAAGGCACAATGACTTCTCAATCGGCACCAAGACCTCAGCTCCTCATCATGATAAGTCCGAGGCACAATGATTTCTTAGTCGGTATAAAATCCTTGGCTCCTCATTAGGATAAACCCAAGGCACAATGACTTCTCAGTCGGTAATCAAGTCCTCGGCTCCTCATCAGGATAAGCCTAAGGCACAACGATTCCTCAGTCGGCGATCAAGTCATCGGCTCCTCATCAGGATAAGCCCAAGGCGCAGCCCCAAGGTCGACCTCTATAATTCTCGATCAAACAGGGGAAACAAAGACATTGACACTTACCCTGCGGATGTCATTTGATCTACAAAGACCGACATTGTTCTTGAAAAGAAAGCAGTGTTACAACTACAACATGGTTAACTGTTTCACCAAGCAGTTTCAGTTCTCAAAAGCAAAGGACATGAGAAATCATTTCTCATTCAAAAATGTTTCTTACATTTTTATCAAAAGGCCCAACAGGGCTTATAAAAAAAGAGAGAGAGAGTGACAACTATCCTTAAAGCTCCCTCATAAGGATCAGGAGATGAGCTGGGTCCAGCAACAGGATTCTCTAAGACGGCGGTGTCGTGCTCTATCCCGTTCTCCCCATTGGCTGACAGATTCGAGTCCCCTCCATCGACCTCAGAGTCTTCCTTCCTTTTCTTGAGAGGTCTCCTGGAAGAGCTCGATCCCTCCGAGTAAGCCCTTCTTTTACATGCCTCCATTGGTGGAGGAATGACTGTCCCTTCGGAGTCGGCGGAAACTGATGGGGACCCTCTCACCTCCGAGAATCCTTCTCCGTTCAAAGCTCTGGACTCCTGAAGACCGAGACGATATCGGAGCTTTTTAAGATCTCCAGCCTCGAGATCACTAAGAGCCCTAGGCTCCAATACATTCTCCTGCACTTCAGGCCAACCCAAACAGGACAGTATATTGTCAGCGCCTATACCCAGACAAAGAACCTCTTCCATTCTTCGTCCAGCTCTGGAAAATCGACGTCCAGACGGAAATCGCCCCGATAGTGGAAAAATAGTGTGGGTCCCCCCAGCAGACCCCACACTAACCACGTGCCCAAACAAACTGATGCTGGGCACCACTCCCACTTTGGAGCAAACATCTATAAACGTCATCAATGTACATATGACGTGTGGATGAAATTGACAGGGGGAAACCCCCAAAGCAGTAAACACCTCCTTAATGAAAGGGTGCAGCGGCAGGCACAATCCACATTGCAGATGCGCCAGATAGAGAGGCACCCAACCCTCGCCATGCATATACACCGGGGTA